ATGCGTGGGTACGGGCGTTGAAGCGGCGGAGGGCGATACTTGGGGTGAAGACCTCATGGATGCCTTTAAAGGTCCGCTCCCAACGATTCTCGCTAACCTTGTTCCATTCCACCACGGGGTTTTGCTTCTTCTCCTTGTCCTTCTTGGGAACCTTACAGCTCTCGAGGTCAGGGAAGAAGATGCTGTCATCGGCTTCGTACAGATCACGGTCGGCAGATTCGCGCTTCTCCGGGATTATGTTCTTCTGGGTAAACCAGCTCTTGCCGTCGGGCATTTGGATCCTGAAAAGCGCCTCGATCTTGGTGGGGTCGGTGTCGTGGGGCGTGAACGTCTCTTTCGGTGTGAGCTCCTTGTTGACTAGCTCTCGACCGGCGTATGGTGCAGGGTCGTCCGACAGTTCGCCATCGCTATCTTCATCAACTGGGATGAATTCGGCACCCGAAAGGTGTTCCGGTGGGCTGCTGACGGGCATCTTGATCTTGATCTTGCTCTGGGGTGTTGGCACCTCAGCCGCGCTGAGAACCTCGCGGGCCAGGCTACCGATCAGGTGTGGCGCCATCTTCATGTGTTCTTGTCCCCCTTGTGAAGGTTTATCGGATGCGTACAAGGTTTGTGTTTGGAAGCGTGGGGGTATGCGCTGAATGAGAACAGTCGTGGCAAGAGGTGGAAAAGCTCTTCAGAGAAATGTGTCAGTCAATGCGCTTCAAACGTCGGATTGGACAGATGAGACGACTCAAAAAGTTGCGTCGCTGGTATTGCGCACGAAAATTGAGCGGTTCAAAACTTACGGCGCGATGTCGACTATGTTTGCCGGGTATAGTCGCGAAGTCAGATGCGCAGATATCACGCGTTACAGTCCTGAGCGCTCGCCAGATCGAAAAGGCTGTTATGACCAAGTCACTCTTCAGAGAGTAGAGACTTCAACGTGTGGTGACGGTGGCGCGTTTGGTCGCGCAGAGAAATGAGCAAGATATACGCCAAGGAAGGGGAAAACTCAAGACTCCAAAACAAGGCTTAACAAGTTGGGACAGTGCGCGCGTCACTGCCTGGCGTAAAAAGCCTCAAAACGCTCATTCACTTCTGGTGCTTCGCGTCGGAGAAATTGAACAGTCACAGGTGTATCAGGGCGAGTCTCATCCTGCGCCTGGTGAGAGCTTCTGGGCGTGTTGTCCACGCGCCAGATAGCCATGAGGACAGTCAATGTTGAAAAACCATCTGGTGTCGGTTCAAACGATCCAGGCTGCATTGTATGTTTGCGTTGCGCGAATAATTAGAGTGAGTGAATGGGAGATATTATGTTATATGCCCATTCATTGTCGACCGGTCTAGCTACAGTACGTGTAGACGCTGACATCCCTCCTCGAATCGATACCTCCAATTTTCTGTGGTCTCGTGCTCCCGAGAACCATCATCCCAAAGTCAAGACGCACCTTATAGCGACGAGTTCTCGAGATATCAGCGTTCAAATCGCGTCCAAATGAGGACAGCAAGTTGACACGGTAAAGGCTTACGGTGCTATGGCTTATTGCGTAATTGTTTTCAACGTCTTAAAATAACGTGGTGTCATTATAGAAAAAATGTATCATTCACTAGGTCCACTACCTCTCCTCCCCAAACCACTCACCCTACGCATGCGCAGACGAGCAAATCCTACACGTAAACCCTCCACTCCACGTTACACACATCGCCTGCTGCAACTTCCCATCTGCGAAGCAATTCCCCCTACACTCCTCCACCGTCGGCCAACTCCCCTTCTCACTACACACCGTCTCCACAGGCTTCACCGGCGTCTGTCGAACCGGCGCCTCGAACGGCAACGTCTTCGTAGGCGTCGCACCTACCGTCGTTGTTATAGTCGTAGCGTCTTGCGTTGTGTGGACTGGTGTGGATGTGATAGTAGGCGTTTGGTAGACTGGGGCTGGCGCGTGTGGACATTTGGACAGACCGATCTTGATGCCGCCGAGTAGGGCGGCGATGAAGAGGGCTATGATGAGTATTGTGGCGGTGGGGATGAGGAATCTCTTCTTGGTGAAACATGAGTGTCGTTTGTAGAATGGACGTGGGGGCAGTTGGGCTTCGTCGTCGTGGGGGAAGTAGGGGTGGTTGGGGTCGATGTGGTCGGCGGGGACGCCTGTGCGTTGAGGTGCGATGCCGGAAAGCTCGATGTTGGGTCGTTGGGACATGGTTGTTGGTATTGCTGCGCTAGGATAGGTTGCTGGGATATTGGATATCGACGGTGCTCACTGGTCTGTAGTGGTCAATAAGTTGGATATTGAGGAGGAAAGTGGCAAAGGACATTATGTAACCGCTTGGACTATAGTGAAAGGAAAGCGGCCAGCAAAGCATTATGATCACAGCGCAAGCACACCGCTCCAAAATTGCACAATGGAAGTCTAGGTCAAATAATGGCAAAGTATGCCGGCATCGCTGTCATGTTGATGCGTAGAGCTGACACTTCACTCACAGGTGTCGCAATGCCCAGCTCTTAATCAGAACGTAACTAGAATTTTAGCCTATCATAAAGCGTCTATGACCTGTCAGGGATGTGCCCGGCTTTCTTTAGCAAGGTGACTATGCACGCACAGTTACGACGTCTCATCTGCATGATCTCGAGGAACATACTTTTCCCAGTCCTCTAGCAACAGCCGTTCCGTCTCATCTGCTGGTGTCGTTATTTCATCTGTACAGTAAATGAAATGTCTTGTCCCTTGGAAGTCAAACCAAAACTGATCTACCTCACAACCAGTCATTGCGGCCTCTTCAAGGCCTATTGCGGTGATCGGACAAGCATGACCATAAAAGCGTCCCAGTCTATCACTATGACATAGTTTATAAAATTGAAAATGAAAGTTTCTCATCTGGGCCCATGTAATGTCCATCCCAATAGCAGCCCCATAACACAGCGTGAAAGCTTGATTCTTGGGTGATTCTGCCGCTAGTCCCTCGAGACATTGATTTCGAATTACGGCTAGAGCGACGTCCATGAAGAGTTGATCGATCGACTTCTCATAATCGACTGTGACGCGTTGGTCGTGATGTACCAGCCCGAGTAGACCGTAGACTTTGTCGCGCAGGTCTGCGCATTCAGTTCCCGCCACATAACTGTCCAGTGCGTCAAATATACCGAGATATATGAATGCGCCGGTTCTCCGCAAAGAACTATTGCACATAATCCTATACACGCTTGAAGGTACGTTTTTGCGAATATAGTTATAGAAGGTTTCAGAATGACACTCCGGTCTCCGTGTGTCATCCACCAGCCACATGTCTTTCACTAGGATCCTGATCTGTTTCGCTAGGATGAACTCTTGTACAATCCAAAGTCGTCTAAAGTACTTGCTGTGGAGGACATAAGTAAATGCCGCTTTTTCTGCTGCATCCCTCCATACACATGCAGCATCGTACGTGTTTTCGAACTTATCGCATCCGCCCTCGGTATGTGAATTGGGTTTCTCAGAACCGTCGCCCAACCAAGCAACGACTGACGTAGCTTTGCTGTAGATATCGCTCATCATCTGCACCTGGTGGTTGCGCTCAACAGTACTCGACTGATCAATGCACAGCTGGTCAATCCACATATAGCGATCCGAAGGCGCCTTGTCGCGGCATTTTCGAAACTCAGTGAGAAATTTGAACAGGTTTTCGCGGATTTGAAGCCGTCCGTCCGCGATGTAGATGGTTTGGTCCGATGGTGGTGGACCCCAAACATAGGACAAGGCTGTGTATGGCGGGGCTTCCGAGATTTCGAAGACTTCGATGTCGAGACGTATAGCATCGTCGTTCTCTAGCGGATCCAGAAGCGTGACAAGCCGTATCTGCTGTGTCGCATGGTCTAGTGGCTGATATTGGTAGTCGTCAAACGCCGGGTTGGCTGCGGAAGACATGTTCGCTCCATGGCTGCCTTGTGCCTCGACCCAACATGTCAGTACGTGCCATGTATACGAAAAGCAGCCATGTCACCTACCAAGGCACCACGCAGCAGACTAAGTAGATTCAGCATACGATTAGACTTTAGGAGGACATGTGGACTATGTGAGGTTTGTGATAGTCGCGATAAGAAAGTAATGCAGCATATTGATTGTAAGCGGGGAAGATGCGCGTGCCAACATGTTGCTGACTGCGTGGGCTGTGCAGACGTCTGTGGCTTGCACGATTGAGAGTCTGACCAATGAACAGTGAGGCACCCGAGCAAGCGCTAGACCTTATCAGGCTAGTAGCTGCAGGAGCATGTTGAGCAGATGGCAGTGCAGTGACTTGCAGGACACCGAGGACTAGAGTCAAATCAGATCAGCGGGTAGTACACTTAACTCAGGTTAGCGATCGTGTGGACATAAATTTGATGGGTATATAGCGCCTTGGATGGGTATCGCATGGAATCTCTCAGAGCTCCAGAGCCAGGAATACCAGTTTGGTGTAAGGAAAAAATCCCGCTTTCTTTCGACCTTTGCGTTTCTCGGGACTATGAAGACCAAGACAGTCTGTAGGCCTTATCCGTGCTCTCTAGGTATCATTACCATACCGACCATACCGACCATCAGTACCACTGTTGCGCTTACGCCGGGTCTCGGTGCTTCGATCATCGTTGCCTGGGGCCGGCTCTGGACGTCCATTGGCTCGCGCCTGGTCCTCAATGATGTTACCATGGCTCCCAGAGGACCGTCGACTAGGGCGTGAGTTGCCTCGGCGTGGTTGTCGTGGAGCATTTTGCGGGGGGCGGTTGCTACCGTCGTTGCTACCAGGTCCTGTAAAGCGTCGAGCTTCGTTAACGCGGTCAGGCGGAAGCTGGTAAGACGGGCCGCGCCATCGCGAACTGTTGCGCTGCCCGTTGATTGCTTCGGCCTGGCTGCTGTCTCGAATTGCGGGGGCGGGTGTGAGCATGCTGATATCGGTCTTTGCGCGCTTGGTAGGGGCTGTCCTCATTGTAGTGTCACTGTCGGGGGCTCGGCGCCGGGAACCTCCAATGACACTACGTCCTTGTAGGCCTTGGTCCTAGAACAATGTCAGCTTTGGCCTCGAGAACTACCTAACACTCGAAGACATACCTGGAGCTGAGCACCCTGTTGGCGATTTTGACTGGGCTGCTGATCCTGCTTCGTCTGCTCCGGGCGGGCCTTGTCGTCTGCATCTTGGTGAGTGTGCTTATCTTTGTCCAGGCGTGCCTCCAATTCTTCGATCCACATGTCCTTGGGGGTGCTCGTGCTTTGTTTCTGTAGAAGTCTTCGATTGCGCTTCTTCAGAATCGCGTTGAGGACGTGTTCCTCAATCATTCCGCATACTTGAATGCGGGAATCGTACGGGAGGGGGATAGCATCCAAGACATTTCCAAAGGCGCCCGTCTTGGGTTGGTATGGGCAACTCGCTTCTATGTCGTAGACGCCCTTTTCCGGGACATAGGCGACCTCTTTTCCCTTGCGCTCGTCCCAGCAGTAGTAACCTGCATCTTCTGCTTTCTTGAGCCCGAAGCAATCCACGCGGACTTCTACAGGCTTCGGTAATGGTCCGCTGCCTCCTGCAGTGCCGAGCTTCAGAACCTCAAGTTCGGTAGTGTTGTCGATGACGATACCGTATCTGGTCTTGAAACAGAACCAGCCGAACTGCGTCGAGACAGCGTTGGGGTCTTTCTCTTCGCAAAGGACCACATGAGGGAAGTTCACAATCATGCCTTCCACGTATTCATCTTTGTCAACAGGGGTGTGGTCGTTCCATCGTCGTACCTCGGATTCTCTCCGCCGAGGCCGGCCGGTTTGTTCGGAGACCTCTTGTGTAGACAACATTGTGAGCGTTGTTGACTGTCAATAGGCCAGCTCATAGGCGCCTGTCTGGAAAGGAATTTGGGCCGAAGGGCGAGTTACTGTGGCGACCACGCAGGGTATCGTAAATCTGGATTGCACGGTCGTGGAACTCGCGCTCCTGCGGTACGGGGATTGCGTATTCTTTCTCCGCAGCGTAGCGCTGATAGTCTGTATAAACTGAGGGCATCGCAGGGAGTCAAAGCCGCTCTGGCCATGTGGCGCTATACTGTTTCAGGAAAGAGAGATGGCTCAAATATAAATGAAGTGTTGGTGTTACTTCGTGAATAGGGCGACGGAGCGGAACCCTACTTATTCCGCGCTCACCTGGCTGATCAAGCTTTTTGCGCACTCGATTGCCCGCACTCTCTGCAATCGTACACCCTGTAGCAATCTACGTTTTTCGCTGTGATCTTCGACAAGTTCAAGACACCCAAACCTAGATATTCCCGCGATCAGACAATCGACGGTTCAGGCAAGATTAGGCCTGCATTAACAAACGACCTTCCCAACATGTCGACCACTGAGAGTGTTTTGAAGACAGCTATCCGCCTGTACAGGTCGGTAGCGGGCTATATTCCCCTCTTCCGTCGCTGCGAAGGCCAGATCCACCGAGACAATGGACGCACTGGTAGTGGCGCTGAAGAGCGTCCAATTCCATCAAACGTCGAGATGTCGTCATTGCCTACTCAGCTTATGATTACCTCCGTCCAGTCTGGAAAAGTCAAATACGAAACGATGTTACAACTCCGATCCAAGGCGGACTCTATCAAAGCGGACATTGCGATGGTGAGGGCGAACGAAATCGACGCTCTGTCGACAGTCCAGTGCAAAAAGGCGGCTGTTGAGAGGTTAACCCGTCAACTGCAACGTCGGGGTGGCAGCGGAGTAACGAAAGCTTAGCAACGTTGCCTGAAGGTTTTAGTTCGCGAGCGCGACGCAGCGACCAAGACCAAACGAGAGATGCAGAGATTGGTAAAGTCTCTTACGAAAGAATACGATGGGAATCTTCGCTCCTTTGCTGAAGTCGTGATGGACCTCCAGGATACGTTCCTGTTACCAAAGAAGAAGGACAACGATGTCATAGCAGAGCAGCATGAGGACGGATCTGTGCAGGGAGAAGTGGAAGGTCCGGTACAAGAGGACGAGCAAGCTCAGACACAGGAAGACGGTGGTATCCCCGAGGTAAACAGTGACCAGCCGAACAATTCGCCAGGCACCGCCCAAGGACTCGAGAGTAGCAAATCTCTCGCCCGTAACCAGCCTGTAGAGGCTTCGCAACCCGACATTCATAACCTCGTGGTTAGTGCTGCCTGTCTTGACCAGCAAGCCGAGGCCCAGTCTATCGACATCGCTGTTGACGACATTGCAACAACGTTGAACCCGCCAGTAGAAGACAAGGGTGGCTCGCCATCCAGCAGAACAAATTATTCTGCTACCCACTTCGAAGACCCGCAAGATGTGCAGGACATGGCTAGATCAGAAAACGATGGCGATATTGATGGTCGAACAGTACATGAAGTGCAAGAAGTCGGCATCGGACAGGAGACCGGAGAAGCACTCCCCCACGAGGATCCGTATATCAAAAGTTCCAAAGGAGAGTGGGATAGGATTGAGCAGGCCATAAAAAAGCTCGAGCGATGTGAGAAGACTTATTGGGAGAGGAAAGAAAAGTTCGAACAGCACTACAAAACGTTTGATGAAAAGCTGGATAAGTTCTGCTCAATCAACCCACGCTTGAGTAGAGCGGATGCAGAAAAGAAATTCGGGCGACACTTCCTCCAGGTAGGGGGCAATTTCCGTTGTTCTTTAGGTGTAGCAGAGACGTCGCTCAAGAAAGCCCGAATTGAGGCGAAAGAAGCAGGAGTCCACGATTGCAACTCATGGGACCAGGAGTCCGGCTTCCTTTCAGTGGCGGGGGAAGGTCCGGATCCAGAAGACACCGGATACCTGAGCGATAGTCGCGATCGCGAAGTGGTGATGGAGTGGCTGCAGATGCCCCACCGCTCAGAAAAAATGCAGCCTTCTGAGTTCAAGTTCGCGACATCGAAGGTGAGCGTCGATCCTTGGGAGAGCCATTCCACAAGGGGAGACTCAAGCAAACGGAAGAAGATAGACGAAAATGTCGACACTTGGGAAGCTCAGTCCTCCAAAGCGTACTCAAGCAAGCGGAGGAAGATTGAAGAGGATGTTCCTTGGGTTGCGTCCAACGACAGCAATGACAGCGCGTATGGCACCGCCAAGGAAGACAGGGGAGACCAGAAGCAATCGGAAGGTCCAAAGAAGAGACCTCGCGCAAGGGCAGAGGTAACCCGTAAGCGACGTGCCCGATCATTCGACGCGCTTCCGGGTCACAAGGTCGTCAAAGAGATGTATTCCGACATGCCTGTAGAGGATCACAGCGTGAGTGTTGACCCCTCCGTAATAGTCGATACCGAGTACTGACATTTCCACAGGTCTGGATGAAGCGAGATTACCGAGAAGACGTTGTCATGGTTGATGACGAAATGACCGACGACGACACCTGAGCGCAACAAACTGACGATTGGGATGATCGAAGTCGGTGGAGTGGGAGGCTATGAAGCAGCGGCTGAAGCAGCTACGTGCCGTTGCCGGATGTAGCAAAACAAGACCGGAGGCGTTGCGTGAAGGATCACAGAGGGAAGCGACCCATCGCGCGATGAACATAGGCAGTGTCGCAATGTTACAAAGCAGCAAGGGCTGAACCGATAGCGTATGCAAGACGCGTACGGCACCGCGTCGAACGCGTCGTCGATGCGGAGAGATCAATCGGCGGAAAGGCAGGGCAGAAGAAGTCGATGCAAAGATATCGGCGAGGACCTCCAATGCGAAGACATCAGGAGATACTCTGATCAACACCGCCAGACAGCTCGAGAAGCCACTGGACAAAGTTCAGGACGTTTGGTACGCGTGCAAAGACATGCCGCCGATGCAAATATCGGGGAAGAACTCGGTGGAAAGATACCGGGGGAAACTCCGGCGCCAAGACATCGGATGACCACATCAGCCGGAAGGTCTGTGCACAAGCTTCACAGCCTTGCAGGTGCGCACGCGCTAGAGATGATCCCACATCTGGGCGTCGCGCCCACAACACCACGTCTGCGATGTCAACGAGGCTCCACTGAAGGACATAGACGCTGAAAGAGCATATGCGACAGAGTAGGAAATAGAAAGTACGAAGAAAGTACGAAGGTAGATACCTAGGTAGTGAACCCGGAGCCGACGAGCAATTCCCAACGTCCGCGATCGATATTCCACCCATACAAAATTACTTTGTTTTATGAAGAGACTAACAAACGTTCTGAACACACAACTGACAGCACTAATGCTTCAATCACCAGCTATGTCTGTAGAATCTCTCATGCCAGCACAGAGCCTCACGAGTGATCACAGTACGTCTTCGACGGTTTGGTGCGCTGGATTCAAACACCCATGTTCAACATCCACACTACCGGGCTTCAAGAGTGGGAACTTCACAAATGTCAAATGTCACATATGGTTGGTATATAAGCGCTCATTAACTCTCCTATCTTACCATATCCACAAAACCCTCAAGTCGTCGAAACACCAGCAACTTAACGAAACCCACTTTTTACCTAGTACAACTCACATCCAACATCCCGAGGACATGCTTTCCTTCCTACATGCTAGCGATAGGCACTGCGCCAAGTTCATCATGCACCCCGATGCGCACCGTGTGCGTCTTCCAAGCGGTTCCGACCTCTACTTCACACTACCGATCGACTTGGACGCACGGCAACCCATGCCGCCCCAGGACCTGGCCGCACTTGATGCATACCTAGAACGGACTCCACCACATCCCTCAGAAGGACCAAACGGTCCCACTCACCAGAATAACCTCGAAGTGCGAAGTATCATTAGCGACTGGCTCGAAGGCTCGCGCTACCTGGACGATATGGAGATGTACGCGTGGGAGTCTGGTCATGGCTTTCCGATATTTGATGAATTCGGCATTCCAATCGATTTCCAGTGGGTTTGGGATGTCATCGCTTTTGAGGGTGGTGAGGAGTTGATCTCCCGTTATGTCGAATATATCAACGATTCTGCTGAGCTACACGCACAAGGTCATGCCGAGGACCACCATGACTCCGCTTCTATAGGCCGCGCTACTCGCACACCCCACACGCCTCCTCCCGATTCTCCGCTCGAGCAACCTCAACATCACCGCTTTGGCCGGTTCCGTGTGGCAACCCAGTCCGACGGACCCGTCTCTGTAGGTGGAGCTGACTTTGCAAACATGAACGATTGTCTAGCATTCCTGGATACCCTTACCGACATCGAAGCGAAATTGCTCAGTAAGAACATCATACAGTTGGAAGGCGATAGTTCCACTGGGTTGCGCATCGTACGTGGCCCGAATGCGAAGTTCCTCCCTGAGGGAGCTTCGCAGGCTCAAAAGGTACCTGTTCAACTTCACGCGTCTCCGGCTGATCATCAAATCCGGCATGTGCATGTCCAACAAGCAGATATTCAACCTGCTCAGATCCACACTATCACAGCTAATCCTCCAAGCCGCAATGTAATCATTCGCCAAGAACACCAAGAACCAAAACCCATTGTTTTCGTTCACGAGAACCCCGTCAAACAAGAAAAGAAGCCCGTCCAAGAGCAGAAGTTAGTCTTCAAGCGCGTAGGCTCACCACCCGAGCAAACAGTGGCCGCCGAGCTCGACCCCTTCCGCTTCTACGGCCGGGAACCTGCACACGAGGCACGAAACCAAGCTGCCAACGAACAGAGGCTGTTCGACGAGCTTCAAAACCTATGGGATGAGTCCCAAAACCTAGCCGATGAGTACTACCAAGTTTCCAGCACGCGCCCTACTTGGCATGCCAAAGATCCACGGAAGACCTATAACAAGGTAGTAACAATTGATCTGCGCGGGCAAGGAGCACCCTCGTTTCGACCTCTATTCCCGCCCAGCGCCGTAGATCCTTCCAAGAAGACCACCAACAAGTCCATCCCCGCTGCCAAAACGGCCCACTCCGTCGCTGCAGAAGCACGTCATAAACTCTTCGGCGCCGAACCAAGTGCTCACCGCAGTTTGTCGTTTCAGGAGCCTACTCGTCTGTCCAGGCGCCCCAAGGCCACTGGTAGGTCCTCGAGCTATGAAGCTGGTGTCGACGACCCCGCGTACCGCATGTGTGGAATGAATGCGCATCAGCCGTATGCGGAGGATAGCCCGGAGGATTCGCCGAGGCCGGCTACTGGGAGTTGGAGGGATGTGTGAGTGTACTAGTATCGAGGAGGTTGAGATGTTCGTAGTGTAGTTGGGTGTTGTGGTAGCTATGCTTTGTCAGGTAGCATAGTCAATGTATTCCGTCATCAGCATGCACTTTACAAAGCGGCTGACTTACTGTTGCACTACGTTACATGCCATCACGATCGTTCCATCATGATCACTTATATTAACTCACACAGTCCAGTACTTTTGCACATTTTATCCATTCCAATGCCGTTACTACCCAGCAGAGCTAGAGAAATCTACGCTATATGGTATGTAAACATCAGATACCAGCCCAAAAAAGGATACTGTTCATGTCCAAGGAGATTCGTTGTCGTATCCTTGAAGAAAGCCTATTCTCATGCATATAGAAACCATCGGTGGAAAACAATCCGATGACGACAGTGATAATGGAGCACTGACCACGTGCAAGCTCCATGATGTTCCCGAAGAAGAGCCCTGGTATATTTGGTATCCAATCCGTTGTACCCTTTCCTGTGGATCTACAAGCGTCATATATCGTCGAAGCCTTCATGTTTGCGCCTGGTTTGAAAAAAGAAAAGAGTAAAGTTATAAGATGAAGAAGACATAAACTAGAACGCGGATAGAAGAAGATCAAGGCGACAGGGGGAATCATGCTTGCTTAAAGTCGAAAACCTTGATGGTAATATGAAAGACATAAAATGGGGAAACTCCTCGCTATGCTTGACCGGCCGTCATGGTTGTATATAGGCCGTAAAGATGTTGTGCGCATGGCGGAAATGCATGAATAAAAGTTTGCGCAGTGTCGCTGGTAATGAAGAATAGGTCGACAGGTCGGGGGTATCAATGCAGAGTCGAACACCAAATGCGGAAAAAGACATACTATGCCCTGCTCGGGTTGATGTTCTCCAGCTCGCTGCGCTGGCGCAAGTACTTGGCGGCAAGCTGGTCGCCGCCCTTCATGGACTGCTCCATCCAGTGTTGCGCGACACACATGGTCATTGGGTCGCTGCGGGCAGGATCTTGCGACGCCTTCCTCTCACGGTTGAGAAGCTCAGTCTTGAAGACCTCGCTGGGCCTGGTGAGCGGCAGGACTGTGCGATGAACGAGCTCAGGCGATGTGAGGTAGAAGATGGCAAGCTCACGCTCGGCCACTGCGTCGCCCTCTTTGGCAGTGATAAGGAGCATGCGTCCAGCATCCTCCATGGTGTACTTAGATAGTGGCTCATCAACCGGAGCTGGTGTAGTGGACGATGCACCGGCCTTCTCGACAGTAGCTCCACTGCTGACTTTGCCTGCATCTCGCTTCGAGTTCTGGGTGATGACCTCATCGACAAGCTCTACCATGATTCTGCAGACGTCTTGCTTGAGGCCAAGAGCAGCGAGACCGACATCCCAGAATGCCTTGCCTCGTGCAGTCTTGTCCAGCATCTGCGCAGGCACAAAGGATGCAATGTACTGCAGGTCTCGGAACAGGGTCTTTGGTCGGATGTTAGCGTCGCGGAAGAGGCCTTGGATGACTTCGACGATCATGTCTGTGCTTGGTGGTCCAACCGGGGAGCGTGCACCGTTGCGAGGTAGAGGTGAAGCGTTGCTCACACGTTCTACGCTCATACTGTGGGAGCGGCGCTCCTCGCAGTTGGCGATGGCTTCCTCGAGGTTTTGTGCCCGAGAGGTCTGAGTAGCTGGCTCACGAGAACTGAGCTCTGGCATGGTGCCAAGGGTGGGTGATTGAGGAACCGGGGGAAGAGTCTCGCGGCGGTTGTTGTACGAGCGGCCTGTCCTAGAAGAGAGTGATGCTATGATGAGCAGCTCCAGCTCATACAGTGCATGCAGCTTGGAGAACGGGTTGGGATGTGTCTGGAATCTGCCCAACAGCCGTCGGAAAGCAACGTTGTACGGAAACTCGAGTAGCCCAGCCTTCTTCGCTGTGGCATTGCCAACTGAACGCGAAGTCGCGTCGCTGGAAGTCGAGGATTGCTCGCCAGCAGATTGGTGAGCGTCGGATGCACTGGCGTGTTGGAAGGTTGCGACAGGTGGAGCAGCTGTCCCACGCTCGTTACGACCGAGCGTCTCCAGCGGCAGATTGCGTGAATCGGGCAGGGTCTGCTTCCGGATGTTCTTCATGCTCTTCTTGGCAAGCTGTTTCTTGCGTTTCCGTTCTTCCTCGTCTCTACGCTCGAAGCAGTCGTCTAGCAAATCACCACCGAACCATGAGTCGGTCTCGCTGCCGTTGGCGAAGACCATTGTACCGAGGTCACTCAGGAGCAGGCCTGTGAGTGTTTGCTTCAGATCGAGCATGAAGCGGCGCTTGTCTTCGTTGACCATTGCAGATTGCTTCAGCATCACCGTGCCCTTCGAGGATGATGCGGTACGTGGTCGGATGCTTGTGGCATTGGTAGGAGATTGCGCTTGAGTCTGGAACGGTGACCAGAAAGTAGCCATAGAATCGATTGCATGAACAGGCGAAGAACCGCCAAAGTAATCCGGAGCATCCATGGGATTTCTTCCCCAGGGGCTCTGGTCGAAGCTGGAAGATCCGTTCCGGTTGGCTGCGGCGCGCAGACTACCTTGACTGGGTCGTTGTGAAAAGTCATGGCTACGGGAACCAGGTCGGCCATGGGTCTCGTACTCCTCATCACCGGCGATGGAAAGAGTGCCAACACCAGTCAGGAACAGGTCGCCCTTTTGTCGTCCACTCTCCAGAATTTGCTGGTCGCGTTTGTAGAGATCGCTGGCCCAGAGCACGGGCCCGTCGAGAACTCCCTCGCCAATGACCTTGGTGACGCATTTGTCGACTTCGAGACAGAAGCGATGTATCCGCTCTTCGCCTTTGCAGAAGTTCTCTACGCTGTATTGCATAAGCCACTTCAGCGTAATTTGCGACTGCTCGTCTGACAGCTTGTTCGGGCCACCGAAATCTTGAGAAGCTGACATGAGGTCAACCAGCTGAGCTTCGTTTTGGCGTAAGAAGCTGTTGCTGTTTCGCGGTTGGGAACCTGACGGGCCTCTGACGTTGAGCATCTTTGACTGTTGGTCCATGATCTTGAGAGCAAGCGCAACGTTCCTGGCGTCTTCATATGGCTTGGAAGTGCGGACATCTGTGATGTACCACATCTTGTCTCGAAGGTTCTTGAACGTGAGCATCATCTCTTCGACCATACCGTCTGACCGCTCCTGGGACTGCTTGAGCCACACGAACCAGGCCTCGAACTCTTCAATGGCATTGGCTGCCTTGCTGAGGAGATCGCGCGGGCCGCGCGAGAAGTAGTTGAGAAGGGCCGCGTAGCCGTTCTTAACCAATGTTGGAGAGCTAAGTCTTTTCAGACTCTGCAATGTCTTGTAGTACATGTGCGCATTGACAAAATCGGATCGTGCTTGGCACTGGTACATGGCAGTCTCGAGCATGGTGACGAGAACTGAGTTGTTCTCTTGCTTCTCGCCAATTTGCGGGTTGCTGTGGCTTCTCGGGAACTGTGGTGAGCGCCTTGACGAGACGTTTCTTTGACTTGCAATCATGTTGGTAAGCTGGCTTTGGCTCTGGGTCGAATTGTATGGGTTGCGTGATCCCAGGTTTTCGCTGACGTTGCGTACTGGGCCACGTCCACGAGTGCTCTTGCGGGTCGTCATTCGGTTGCTGAAGTTCTTCGATTCGCTGTCGGGCGCAAGTTCTTTGGGAATCTCGTACTCCTCCACCAGCTTGGCGATTGCCTCTTTCAGCTGGTGGTAGTCGTTGCCAAGATCGAACCTGTTCCCGCCCTCTTCGTCGTCGCTGCTGTCGCTGTCTGGTGAGTCCTCATCGTGCTCATCCTCATCGTCAAAGTCTTTGCGCATACGCGGCTTCAGCTGCTTTCCATCGGCGGAGATGTAAAGGACAGCCCATCGCTCTGCGCACGGATGGCAAGAACCTGATGTGGCTTCGAAACCTAGGAGACGAGTCATCTCAGAACATGCCATTCGCAGCTGTCTTCCGTATTGCTCTGTTGGTGCAGGCTTCATCTCTGTCGGTGATTCGGCGGATGCCGGGTTGCTGTCCAGGAGTGGCTCGCGCGAGGTCTGGTCGCTAGTCATTGAAGAAGCACTGGCACTCAGGATAGAGCTTGCGTCAGTCACGGAAGCGGCGGCATTGCGGAATGGAACCGACATTCCGGACATGGAAGAAGCAGAGGAAGCCAGACCAGTACGGCGCTGGCTGTCATTGTCCATGTGGCTGGATGACGGGCGTCGCTCCGGGAATAGAGCGTTGACCAGGGTGACAATGTCGGCTGGTGACAAGACAATGAATGGCTGAACTTCCACAGTTTCTCTGGGTGATGTTATGGCCTTTGCAGGTAGCAAAATAGGCTTCGAGGGTGTCTTGGTGTGCTTGAACCGAGCCAGGATGTTCTCGATGTGTGTGCGGATCTCTGGGAGGATTTCGTTTTTCTGCTTCCTACAATTTTGTTAGCTGGTGGCCTGAGGGTACTCCAGCATAGCGCCATACCAGTTGTAGGTCATGTTCACGACGTATTTCTGTGCTCGTATGGCGACCTCTTTCAGAATCTTGATGCGAGCATGCTCACTGATGTGGTGGCCAATCATGATGCCATGGGTCTGTTTGGTGTTAGCTTCGCAGTCTTGCGTCAGAAAGGGTAAACATGCCTCGGGATGGATGATGGCGTTCATGAGGAAGGTAGAGAAGAGCCAACGCGAGACAAAGAAATTTTGGGAAGCCCTGCGCAAGCTCTTCTCGTCCTCCAATTTGCGCAGGATGGCATTTCCAATCTCCAAGACTCCTTCTGGAATGCCACCGGCACTGGGCTCATCGTCAACGACCTCGAACAGACGCTTGACAGCCTTGTCAAAGAACTCGTCTGCTGCAATGGTGTCCTTGCTGGAGCGCGGGGTCGCTTGCATTCCGGGTCGTGCGGCTTGCTCCTCGGGCTTCTCGAGCAGGAACTGGCCATCCTGAAGGGTCTGCATAAGATAGAGCTCCAAGTTGGTCTTGCCGGGCCATTCTCGCATGCCGGCCCAGACATCGAGCACAGTGCGAATGAAGTTGGGGTTGTTGTTCTTGATCAGCTTAGCACAAACAGTGGCCCATACATCTGTGCGGCGAAGGTCCTCTGCCGAGTCGGGTCCGGATGAATTAGCGAAGATGGTGTACACGAGGGCAGACAGCGGATCGTGGCGCTGGAAAGATAGCAGGCGCTCTACCGGGCTTGTTCCTTGCTGTTGGGCCTTCTGCGAGGGAGCGTTGCGGCTACGGGCGTTTGCAAACATGACCGAGTCAATCGGGTCCATGGTCTGACGGAAAGACGTAAGAGAAGTGAGCTCTTGCTGCGAAAGACTGGAAATACGAGCAGCAAGAAATTCTGGGTTCGTGCGGATTTCGGAAATGAAATCGAGAAGGTTGTCCAGGATCTTGGACGGTACTTCATTGAGGAAAGTGGAAGCAGAGAGGGGCTTCTCGCTGCGGAAGTTTTTGGACTTGCCAAACTCCAGATCCGGCTCCAAGAGGGCATATTGCCGCGTGGCATCGCACGAGTTGCGGACATCGTTGAGGGCGTTGTAGAGGGAGGCGAACGACTTCTTGTCGTCGGAGCGGAAGTTGTCGACCAGCGTGCGGTAGGCCAGCTCGCCGCAGTGTACCAGACGTGCAGAGAGGGCGCTCGAGACCAGCCAGCGGTGCAGGCGCACGCGGGCATGCGTCTTGCGCTGCTCCTGGTAGCCCTGGAGGCGGATCAGGTGGGCGAGCTCGGCGAGGGAAGTCGCGGACGGTGGGATGGCTGCAGTCGGCAGGTACGAGTCGGTGTAGGAGGAGAGGTCCGCGGGCAGCAGGCGCGGCAGGCGGCCGGCGGGGGCAGACATGGAGGCGGGTATCTGGGGGCGCTGGAGTTGCTGGTGGCCATGGCGGTCGGCGTGGACGTCTGGAGTTCCGCCAGGTCGGCTGCCCATGGTGGCCGGTGGTGGTTTGGGAGCGCGAGGTGAGGGCGACCTGGGCGGGCTGTGAGACCTAGGCGGAGCCTCAGCGGGCGGGTCGTCGACTTGAGAAGTAGTGTACGAGGGCGTGTGGCATCTGGACGACACATGGGTGACGGTGGGCGACACGGCTACGAGAAAGTCAGCGTCGGCTCGCCTGCCAGCTCATCGTACATGCACAGAGCAGCGCATTGATGCCCGCGCCAGCTATTGGCCGGAGACGCGCTCGAGCACGGGGTGGATAGCAGAGCACGGGAAGGGAGATGGGCACCTACGCGGAGTGTTGCCAGCCTGCGCCGGCGAGGCTGTGAGTTGGGTTCGTCGCATCATGTCGCCATGAGAGAGCCCCATGGAAGCCCTACGGAAGGTGCGGACCTCAAGAAGGTGGCAGAGATCCCCTACGGCATTGCCAGATGGGGCGGTAGTCTTGGGAGAAGAAGAACTGCTTTGGGCGCGCCCTCTCCACAGCGCTCGACGTATGCGCTGGCGCGTCTTGACTGTTTAGGTGGTAATGATACAGAAGCGAGGCAAAAGAAGCGTGATTGGGCCTCGTCCTCGAGTCCCTGTAACAAGTCACGACTGCAGCTCAACGGCCCCCGACTAATCCCATACTACTGCTACCAGTGCTAAGCCGCCAGCCGCGTAGAAAGCGATACCGTGTGCGAAATACAGCGGGGGAGCTGCTTCAGATTGGTGGCCGTGCCAGACCGCCAGACTTGCCCACGACCTCCATGTCGCCATGGAGCCGTCCAGGCGATGACTTGCAGGAACAGCACATCGCAGTGGGACGAATGAGGACCAGCCCGCCGAATGCCTCAGCTCAGACCCTCTGCTTCCCACACCAGCCATCCCCGCCTCGCACAGAGACTCGTCGACAACGCACGCTTTCGATCGGCGCCGTCGTCGCTCTGATGGAAGCTTCGGCGACGCTCTCCCGCCGCTGGTGCTGGCCGTGTTGATGTCGCCATAGGGAGACTAGGCGGTATCGCTGGCCGCCTCTGCGACCGCCCCTCAACGCTACCCCTCCTCCCTTCACCACGGCACGCTGCCCTCACCAGCAGCGCAACTCGTAAACTCTCAAACACGCTGCTCCGCTGCAGCTGCAGCGCCAATACAGACGACGCCCCTCAGCTAATCGCCTACGCGCAGCTCTGCTCGCCCTCCTGACGTGACGGCCGGCGAGTGGAGTCGCCCTCTTCCCCTGCGCTGCCAGCGCATGGCTGTCAAAAAGGACCATGCCATGCAACATGCTGCACGCCAAAGCATCGCGCTGCACCGCTGTGAACCCATGTTTTCCCATTCATCTCCCAGTGCATGCCTAGTGCCGAGCATTCCTCGCCATCATTCATCACTCCGCCATGCATATCCAGTCGCCATCCAATGAGCCGCACCGTCACACCACATACTAAACTCTCTGCAGCATCTCCTGCTTGGGGCTATCGTTGCAGTCGCTGCGGAGCTTCGTTCCTTTTGCATGTTTGCAGTCGCAGTGCGTCTGCAGCTATATCCTGGTGCATGGCAACTCAATCGCGATCGTAATATTACGAGATAAGAATATCCTGCGTGGGCGTTGAAATGTTACCTTGAACATGTTTCGTTTCCAGGTGGCTATCGGAGATCGTCGACCATCTGCCGGTCGCGTGTAATACCCCGCCACACGATTGCCGCATACAGACCGCTCCTTCTTCAGGTACCCATGGCCATTCCACCTACTCTACCCAACGGCCTTTGGGCTGACGGTTGCCCTGCCCAATCGCTGCTAAGCGCCTATCTACAATGCAAGACATGCGAAATCGTGGCGATCCCCGCTAATCCGACACCAACGCGCCAGCGTAGCGCTCTACCGGCACCATTGTACCCGATCGCTGCCTCCGCGACTCCATCACAGCTTGCCCAGAACCCATAGTCAAGGCATGGCTTCCCTGAGTAGAGGCGCGACACGTTTCCGACTGTGCTGCACTTGTCGCTGCCACCAAGTCTTTCTCCACTCGCTCTTGCTGTCAATGTCGTTGGAGCCCTGCCAGTCCTCCAATCCCAATTCATCTTTTGAATTCGTGGCAAATGTTTTAGCAGCCGACACGGCGCCGTCGTTGAAGGCCCATAGTAACAGTTCTCTCTGGAATTGCCCATCTGCACCCGACGACGTGGTCATCAGGGAATACATGTCCAGCTCACGCTCCCTTGCAAATTCCTCCAACGCTTTGAGGAAGGCGTCGGATGCCTGAGCACTTGCTTCGTCCCCAGCTTTCTTCTGGAGAAACTCTATAGGCTTGACAACAGAACTAACACCGAGCTTTCGGCCACCCTGGTCCCATTGCTTATAATCCTTCCGAAGTATGTCTTGCAGCTTTAGGCTTCCAATGTCCTTCTTTGCTGCGTTGATCTCCTTGTAGAAGCTGGCGCGGTCGAAGCTTGCAGCCAGCGGGGGACAGAGCATGATCTTAGCTTCCAGGTACTCGACAGCCTTACGGTCATGCTCGGTCGTTTTGTTCTCGTCGTGGAGATCGGCCGTATCGATGAGAATGCTGGCCAGTCCCAACTGGGCGACGTCTGCATCCCAGCGCTTGACAAAGGCAGCGTCGTTGGACATGCTGTCACCCTGCGCATGGGCTGCCCCCGAAGACAAGGCAGACGCGGAAGCCATGTCCCATGATGGCTGGCAGTAGTTTGCAATCAAGCTAGTGCAGCTGCCACACTTCTCGATTATCCTCGGCTCGTCGCCTGTGTCTTCCGGTACTTTTTTCTCATCGTCATGATGATCAATGACACCGGCGACACGCTCTGCATAGATTTTGCCTAATTGGCCCTGCAGCGCATTGTGGTCTACCAAGATCCATTTGGTACTTTCAGGCGCGAGCTTCGACTGTATGTCTGACCAGGCGGGAAGGTCATCCAACGTGATCAAGTGCTTTGACTCAATATTGGCGTGCTTGAACACGGCCAAGTATTCCGGTCGTAGCTGAATATCGGCAGCTGGAATATTTGTGATTGGTACGTAAAGTGGGCTAAAGGCATTTTTGGGCGGCGACATGGACCGGAGGTATGCGTACAAAATGGAACATGACATCGAATCAAGGTCTGCATTTCATGAGTATGCAGCGCCATTGTGGAGCAGGAGTCATGCTCACCCGCAGACTCATTGCCAATGACGAATGTAATCTTCTGACTAGTTTCAATGGCGCTCCGGAGAGCGCCTCTCGCGTGTGTGAGAAAGGCTCGCAAAGAATTCCTCGGCACCGCCATGACTGTGTTTAGCGGTGAGACGTGTGTAGGTTTCGGGAGGGTGGAAGTGGACGAGCGAATGGTGTTCAAGAATGAAAGTGACGTAGAAGGCGCTCGGACCACGCCACGCGCATCACGAGGTCTGGAGGGCGTGATGACGAGAATGTGGTGGGCAAAGCGACATTGATTGTGTGTGGGTGTGAGATTTCTCATGTCCAGATCGCGTGATAATTGGGGAGCCGATTGTATTCTTGATGTCCTTGCTTTGCTACCTACCCAGCACTTGGAAAGGCGCCGCATGCGCGTAGTGGCCCATGGAGGCTTTGACTGATAAGACATTTTGCGATATCTTCACTGACGTGCCTATCCGATCTCGACGCTACCTGCCGGGACTCCTCTAGTACTCCGTAGCCGACGAGCAAAGAACTGCATGATGGGCAGCATCTCGTCGCGGCTGCTCGGCATGCCGTCGCCGTTCTTCTTCCACTCTTTAAACTCGATATATTGGAAAGCATCCTTCAGCTTCGTAGTCGCACTGTCGGTAACTGCAGACTTCTTGCTTGCCTTGCAGATCAGCACTGGTGTCTTGCTCTTCTTCTCCAAAGCTTTCAGCGGCACTGATTGCGACAGTGGTCCTCCGATACTGATTACCCCACCTAGTTCTTCCTCAAGCTGGGCAGCAGCCTGCAGTGCGACCATGCCGCCTTGCGCGAACCCAAAGATCATGATCTCTCGGGCTTTGTAGCCACACTTGCTGATGAGACCTTCGCGGATGACTTGATCGAGTACCAGAAGTGTCGACTTCTGGACGCCGGTATCCATGTCCATCTCGCCCGTGGTGGAGTCAAAGATCATGTCTTCACCCCAGTGCATGCCACCAAGATCGAACGGCAGCGGATTCGGCGCTTGTATCGCGATGCATGCTGTTTCTGGGAGGTTCAGCTGCTCGCCGAGCTTCGTGAAGGACGCATTCGTGTCGCCGAGGCCGTGTAGGAGGATCAAGATGTTCGTGGGTGGTTGCGAAGCCGGCGCTGCATGAGTTAGCGAGAGCAGAAGCGACTCTGGCGACTGCGACGTACGTGGTGTGATGCTCAAGGTTACCGACGACGGAAAGTCAGCTTTGGTAGGGAGTCGGCCCGGCATGTTGTCGCGAAGATGGGGTTGTGGCTGAGTACGTGGTGGAGTGGGAGCAGGCGCCTGAGACTCGGGAGATGATCGCACGCTAACTAGCCAAGCTTTCTACCATGGAACAAGCAACAGCCCCAGCTATCCTACCTGACGGCAGGCTACAGTATTGGCACGAGATTTCGACTTTCATTCCGCATTCTGTGGTACTGTCCATGAGGATTTGGAACCTATTGCAGGTGCAGCTCCTCAGCTCGCAAGCCTAGACGCTCTGTCATGCAAGGCTAAGCTTTACCAAGGAAGCTTGTTTGACTGTGCCGAGCGTCCCGTTGATCTGACGTCCACATCCTGGCTCATTACGCACGCGTCTATACCACAACAGGTTCGCCAACATGCTTTCAAACGTGCCGACACGAAGAGTGAGCCACTCAAATTAAGATGTCAGCGGTCTGGTGCGTAACGTGGCGCAAAAATGAGCTCAAGGACCCTGCATGTGCTTCACAGCTGAGCCACAAGTGGTCCCTGGATGGCTGGGCGAGAAGAGAGGGGTACGATCGGCCTCGATTGAGTGATTTGTTACTGCCAACAGATGCATGAATGTTGGCCGACTATGACGCCGCGTGGCAGCG